GGGGGTACCCCCAACCAGCCGCCTGTCCGGGGGAGATGTCTGCAAGTCTTTATGATCCTCGTCACGCACACCAAGCTGCGCCCCGCTCTCTCCTCTCCTCTCCTCTCCTCTCCTCTCCTCTCCCTTCACTCACTTCACAGCAGAAGCCCCCTGCTGCCGTAAGGTTCCGCTTGCGTCTAATCGCCAATAATCACCACGTTCAGTTTTACTTACATCTTAAGCAAAAAAAATAAATAATCCAATGATAGAAAGTTGTACAATTTTGATGTATTTCAAATATGTACAATTCGCCTGATACATGATGAACAAAATTGATCAATTTTTGATTGGTTCTACACCTTTTTGAATATTTGCAGAGGTTGGGGGTTGGATGAAGGGGGAGGTAGGGGGGATCATCTCCTAGGCTCGGTTGCACTCGCACATGCACTTGTCCTGCGCCAGCACGCACGCGTCCTTGCACTCCTTGTTGCTGCACTTCTTCTTGCAGTCGTCGTGCGTCTTCTCGCACTTGTTGTCCTCGCTGCACATCTCCCACTTCTTGAACGAGTCCAGCGCGCCCGTGGGCCCGGCTGGGCTGAGGCAGGTGCAGTGGCAGTTGAGCCTGCAGATGGCCAGGGCCGTGAAGTCCTTGCCGTCCCAGCTGCTGCAGGAGGCTGGGCTCGTCTCGCACTGTAACGACAGGAGTGTTAGCTTACTACGCACGCAACTAGGGGATGTTTCTAATTGAAAACACTGGCCGAACCCAATTACAAACTTTGCAAATTTTTGGAACGAAGGAATTACGTGTGTCCAGTGTCCAGTTTAAAAACAACAAGACATCATTATTTTGGATCTCGTAATTAAATAAATGAACCCACGAATATTTTTGACCGCGCTAGTTTATTGGGTGCGAGATTTTCACCGAAAACTTTGTGAGTGTGAATGTGCATACGTGTAGATGTATTCATTTTAATTCACGCTCTTGTACGAGAAAAGTTTGCATTTCTTGCAGACTTATAACTCCAAGTAAGTGTATGAATAGGAATTTCGTACGCCCAAAAGGATGCGACATTCGCACACTTATTTTTTCGACGACAGAGTCGAGGGCTTCTCCTCGGGTTCGACTCACCTTCTGGTCGGCCACGCACTTGTCGTACTTCTGCTTGTCCTCGGTGGCGGAGGCGGTCAGCACAGACACGTGCAGCGCCAGCACCAGCAGCATCGGGGCGGTCAGCATCGCAAAGCGCATCTGCGGCACAGAGCGAAGGGGTGACGACACCACCTGAGCAAGCTCGAACCGGGACTTGGGGGCAAATAGCCTTGAATATCGGCGCAATGTTTTTTCTCTCTTAAATTTCGATGAACTACCAAGAATTTCGATTACATTTCAAGAAGAAGATGAGTTTTTGAAATTTCGGTTGAATTTTCCAAAGTTTCAAACTTGTATTCTAATTAGTGAACTTTGTTATGTGAGTTGTTTTTTTATAATTTTTTCTACTTACATTTTGAATTTGGATATATTTTTTATGCGTGTGCAGCCTATTCGCCCGCGCTCTCGGCTGCTGTTCGCCGTTACTCACCTTGCTCGGGGGCGGTTGGGCTGGGCTGAGAGGTGAGCTGTGGACGGTTCGGCGGGCTGGTCGCGACTGCCCGCGCCGCCCGAGCCCGCGGCGCTCCGATAGCGAACACCAGAGAGATAAACAGGATGAGACGCGCGGGGTCAGCGCTGGCCGCGGGTCAGGCGGACCAGCCGGGCTGTTGTTGGGCTCCAAGGGCTCGAGGCCAGGTCAATACAAAAGTGGCACTTTCAGAAAACAGTTCTGCCCGTCCGTCAGCATTGCCCGCGTGCATGCGGTACAGTATAGCTACGAAAGTGCGCGGCGTGAATCAGCCACCTGGTACAGTACTCAGTACTTACAACAATCTCTCTCTCTCTCTCTCTCTCTCTCTCTCTCTCTCTCTCTCTCTCTCTCTCTCTCTCTCCCTCTCTCCCTCTCTCCCTCTCT